GGAGGACAACCATCAGAACGCAAGGCCTCCTCGGTCAACATGCGAAACCCTTGCACAAAAAACCAAAAAAAAATACTCAACCCTCTCAGATAAAAATAGCTACCTGGAATGTAAGAAGTATGTATCAGCCTGGAAAACTACATAATGTTATTAAAGAGAAAGAGAGGCTAAATATAGATATACTTGGGGTTAGCGATGTACAATGGTCAGGAAATGGAGAGATATCAATAAATAACCACAATATTTATTACACTGGAGGAGACAAAACTGATCATCGATACGGAGTAGCTTTCATCATAAGCAACACTATTAGAAAATCAGTGCTAGGTGTGATTCAAATCTCAGAAAGAATAATAATGCTAAAAATTCAAGCACGGAACTGTAATATTAATATGATCCAAGTCTATGCTCCCACAGCTGATAAGACCGAAGATGAGATCGAAAAGTTTTATTCAGAATTGCACAATACAATCAAGTTAACAAAATCTAGAGATATTACTTACATTTTAGGAGACTTTAATGCAAAAATTGGAGTAGGTACAGTTGAAAATATAGTTGGACAGTTCGGATTAGGAACTAGAAACGAGAGAGGAGAAAGGCTCATAGAATTCTGCCAAGAAAAGAATATGGTAATTGCCAATACTTGGTTTCAGCTTCCTAAGAGAAGACTATATACATGGACGTCTCCTTCACATACAGAAAACCACATTGTCAGAAACCAGATAGACTTTATACTCGTAATAGCAGATATAAAAACTCTATAACCTCAGTTAAAACTTATCCTGGAGCAGATGTTAACTCAGACCACAATCGTTAGTTGCTGACGTGAAAATAAAATTAAAAAGAATTGAACTCAGAAAACAACAACCAAAAATTAATGTAAGAATGCTAAAAAACGAAGAAATAAAAAACGAATTAAAAAATAATGTGAATGTTAATATGCAAAAAACACTAACTGACAACAAACAAATTATGGATGTAAATAAAAAGTGGTATAATATAAAAAACACATTACTGAAACCAGCTCAAGAAAGTTTGATACAACATAGGTCAGAGGCTAAAAAACAGTGGATGACAGAAGAAATACTATTACAGATGGAAGAAAGAAGGAAATATAAAGGAAAAGATCTACAGAAGTATAAAGAAATACAACGAATAATTAAGGAAAAAATCAAAACAGCTAAGGAAATCTATTTGATGAAACAATGTAAAGAGATAGAAGAACTAGAAACAAAATATGATATGAGAAATATGCACAAAAAAATAAGAGAAGTGACTGGAATGGGTCGAAATAGACAGCAAGGACACATAAAAGACAAAAAAGGAGTACTACTAATAGATTTACCAGAGAAATTAAGACGATGGGAGGAGTACGTTAGAGAACTTTTCCAAGATGAAAGAGGTGAAATGCAGAAAATACAAGAATTAAATCCTTTAGAGAGACAGAAGATCACGATAGATGAAATCAAATATACTATCAAAAACTCTAAAGACAATAAGGCAGCTGGATTAGATGAAATACCAGTAGAACTGTTAAAACTAGTGGAAGAGGATAACTTGGAAGTATTGGCAGATTTATTCAACACGGTGTACGATACGGGAATAATACCACAAGAGTGGCTGAAGTCAGCATTTATAACCATCCCTAAAAAACAAGCAGCAAAAGAGTGCTCTGATTATCGAACACTGAGCCTCATGAGTCATACTTTAAAAGTACTGCTGAAAGTAATACATAAGAGAATATACAAAAGGCTAGAGGAGGATATTAGCGAGACGCAGTTCGGGTTCTGAAATGGAATGGGTACTCGAGAAGGACTATTTGCCATCAACATATTGATTCAGCGATGTCGGGATGTAAACGTTGATCTACACTTGTGCTTTGTTGACTACGAAAAAGCTTTAGATAAAGTAAGACATGAAAAACTAATATCAATACTTATGAACAAGCGCATTGACAGTAAAATCATAAATATAGTGCAAACATTATATTGGAACCAAAGTGCCATAGTTCAAATTAATGGACAACACTCAGAAGAAATGAAGATCTGTAGAGGAGTTAGACAGGGATGTGTTTTATCGCCACTTTTGTTTAACTTATATTCTGAAGAAATTTTCCAAAACACGCTCAATAATATCAAAGCGGGAGTTACCGTTAACGGAAAATTAATTAACAACTTACGATATGCAGACGACACTGTGATCATAGCAACGAGTATAGAAGATCTACAACATCTTATCGAAAGCTTAAGTATGAATAGTGCTGAAATGGGAATTACTATAAACGCTAAAAAAACGAAGTACAAGTTACAAAAAGACCACAAAATATACATCACCTATTGACAATCAATGGTAATGTGATAGAACAAGTAGAAAAATATTAGTACTTGGGAACATTTGAACAATGAAACCAATGATCATGCTGTAGAAATAAACAGTTGAATAGAGATTGTCAGGTCAGCATTTATACGAATAAAGCCACTCCTAACGTGCAAAAATCTAAATTTGGAGATCAGACTACGTACATTCGCTGTTATATATTTTCAATATTATTATGAAGCTGAGACTTGGACATTAAAAAAATGCAATTTAAAAAGAACTCTGGTTATACCGTAGAGTATTAAAAATATCATGGACTAATAGAATTACAAATAAAGAAGTACTGGAGAGGGTTGATAAAGAAACAGAACTAATCACCACTATACAAACCAGAAAACTGGAACACCTCGGCCACGTGATGAGGGACCAAAATATGAAATTTTTCATTCAAGATAGAAGATCTATTGGCCGAAGGCAGAACTCGTGGTTGAAGAATCTACGCGATTAGAATCAACGCAGATCGATTTATTTGTTTAGTGCAGCAAGTTCAAAAGTAAAAATACCCATTATGATTGCCAGCCTTCGTAGGGAGATGGCACTCTAAGAAGAAGGGATGATCAGTGTAGTAGTGTCTGTGGGCTCGGGAGACTGAAACCTCGGAAGCCCTAAAAAAGATATCAGAGAGGATGTCGAAGCGCAGTGATAATCGACGCGGTTCAACCTGGAAGTCTATTGAGTTTAAGTTAGTTACTTATATTTTCTGTGGTTTTCCGGGTACAACTGCGCCTTGAATAATTTTGGTCCTTCGAAGAGCTATTATTAAAACAATCATTTAAACATTCGGTTTCTAGAATAAATGTATAATAACTGATACCATATTAAATTAAGCTAATTGATATAACACTAAGACCACTAAATACGTTTTTTTTATTTATCCTACATATTAGACATTTTAACGTTTGAGAAGTAAAATTAAAGAATTAACATAATATTAAAGATCCAAAAACTATATTAATTCTTCGGGAAGAGTTTATACACGAAATACTTGAACCTTTTGTTTAAATATACACTTCAAGGATAACTAAGTACATAGTATGTAATTGTATGGGGGTTAGCGAAGAAGATTTATCAATAAGATTACTAAAATGTAAAAGTTAGTGGCATTATAATATTTTCCTAGTGCATTAGCTGGTAAACATAGTAGTAACAGTATCATTTATGCATTTATAGTACTACCATCTAAGAGACTCATTAATATTCAGCTCAGGAGGGTGCTACTGTTTTAAGTGCGAAATTACATAAACAAGGGATCATTTCATAAAACAGATTTATTGTTTATAGAATTTCACACTTCAAACAGTAGCATCCCGCTGAGTTGAATATTCATCAGCCTCTTACAATGATTGCAATACTATAATTATCTCTATTTGTGGCTTACAAACATTTACTTTATAGTATACTACTTTCTGTGGTCTGTTATTAACAAAGCAAAATACACCACAAACCGGCGGTGTGATATGAGTATCAATGATATTCGCATTTTTTGTCAATTTATGATTATTTATTAAATAAAATGTTTTAACCGATTATCAACTAACCAGGGAGAGTTCTTTAGGATAAAAAACAATTCACTACTAAAAAACAAAGCAAAATATATATTAAAGTCTATGCTAATTTGAGAATAAAATAAATTTTTGTTGTTATCAAATACCATTAACGTTTAGAACAGCTGTAAACCTCGACACCCCCGCCTTATTTTCAGCAATACAAGTATAAGTTCCAGCATGTTTCTCTCGTACAGCATCTATCGTCACCGTACTAACTTTCTTTCCGGCTTTGGTGATCAAAACGCCCTCCATATAACCCAGACTTATATTGTTATGAAGCCACGAAATATTTATAGGCAGATCTCCTTTGTGAACCGAACACTGCAACGAAGCCGAATCACCGGAGTTCACGGAATCTTCGCCGAAATCGAATGGTAAGATGTGTGGAGTCACTGGATTAAAATAAAGATATATATGTTAATTAGATTTGTTCATGTTTATCAGGCGTACAAGATCAAATTTCCTGCAAAGCTATATATTGAAAAAAAATATTACATTATTAAATCGTTTATGGTCTATATGTTTCTATAAAATAGAGTCTGTTATTGGAGGAGAGTAATAAATTAAGATCAAATGATCATTTCTTGTGCGCATAGTTTAGTACATTATTTTTATGACTAGTGTGAACTTTAACCCATTAGCGCCCACCGTTACTATATGGTAACGTAAAAGAAATGATTTTGAAAAATTCTGCGGTACGCCCATGGAACTATTCAGCCACATATTTCGAAAACTATCGTTTCTTTTAAGAAATCAAAAGTATGAACTGCTCCAACTTATAATCGAAGGCAAAGTCAATAGCAAAAGAGGACCAGGAAGAAGACGCAACTCTTGGCTTAAAAACCTACGGCAATGGACGAACATGACCTCCATAGAACTATTCAGGGCTGCTACAAATAAGATTAAATGGGCAAATGTAATGGCCATCGTCCTTAAGGATAAGGCACCGTAAGAAGAAGAAGATCGTTTCTAGGAATATTTCAGGCAGCCATTAAACGTAGCGGATTCGTATTTTAGTCTTCTCTTAACCGTCGAGAAGTAATCATATGACAGTGTGGTTTGAGTTTATAGAAAAAGATGGACGTCCGTTTAGCGTAAGTAATTTTTGATAGTCTTCTAGTAACTATATTTGCATATTTAAAAAAAAACTAAGTTTATTATACCCCAACTTAGTATAAATTGCTGTATTTAATCAACAATTAAATGTAGCGAATTTGGTAGGAATAGTCAAAGTACGCTGTTACCATATGGTCGCAATGGGCGCTTACGGAGTCATTACCTTATTTTTTTTTCAGTCGTAGATTTTCGTTAGCAGAACAGATAGATATGGTTTACGGTGACGAAAAATTAGCCGAGCAAGTCGATAATATTTTTATAACACCGCCAGATGTAAATGGTGTTGATACAGACGAGGATTCTGCGAATGAAGATGAAGGTGGATTCGCAAATAACCTAATAGGTGCTTAGTTGTACAAATAATGATATACCTGCATATTATAATTGTTTATTTTTACAGGTAGGCAGCTACGAGCGCAAACAGAAATACAACTTTCTACCAATGAAAGGATCGGTGACAAGGAAGAAGTGCAGATAGGGGTAAGTAGTATAACCAGTAATTTTTTAATATGATTAGGTTTAAAATTTATTTTTATTACAGTCACAAGCAGTAGTGGCGACACCCGAAAGAGAAACTAGAGCATCGTTTCAACTAAGGCAAAATGAAACAAAAGATGTAATAATGAAAAAATGTACTTGGATGCAAGGAGACTTACAGTCTGCAAGTTTTTCGTTTCCACAAGAAGATTACTCTAGGTATGAAAATCTATCATGTCTTGATATCTTCAGTATATTTTTTTATGATGAGACAGTAAACTACTTAGCGGAAGAAACCCAACGATATGCACAATTTGTAAACCAAACTGACCCATGCATTACATCTAGAGAAATACGTTGTTTTATAGGTATTCTCCATAGACGTATAAACATAGATGGACACAGCAATAAGATACCTTTAACACACAATGTTTTGAAGCTTCGATAGAATGTGATGCTTCCGCAATGAGCATAAGCGTGCTTGAATTTTTACTCGCGGGTAATTATTCAGATTTTAAAAATTGGAAGTAGTAATAATGTATAAAAACACGTTCAAAGAATTAAAAAAAAAACGAGAGTTTAACTATTAACAAATCACGTCTTTATAGAAAAATTAAAATACAATTTTATTTGCTTTAAAATTAATACAATTAAATATAGTTGAATTCAAGTTAATTTTTTAATAGTATCAAAATAATGCTACAATAATAAATCTTTATGTTTTCTCCTTAATTTGCTACCCAAATAGTTCGATCGTCAATATTATTTGGAAACCTACACAGAAAATAAAAGAGTTTTATTCATTTCACTAATTTATTTGTATCCATGAGAAATATTAAATTAAAAAGGTACTAACCAGATCTTTTTTAATCAGATGATGTCTACTTACAATTTATAAATGTCTACTAATTTCATGATCTTATTCAATACATTAATGAACATGAATAAACCCAATGGTACGCCTATTAAAATGTAAACAAACACGCTTCCTCATTTCCTCATCTTAAATAATGTAAATTGTATGTACTTACAAATGAAATGAGAGATCGGGATGTAAATATTTCGTTTATTTTATTTCACTTTTCACAAATATCACTCAAAATACAGCCAAAATATCGAAAAACAACTTTTACTAAAAAGTAAACAAACATGGAACAGTATTTGAAGTTTGACGTAGATCCATAAGACAGAGAAATGTAAACAACCGTTGCCATTTATAAATAGTTTTCAGTGCTTCTACATATAAAATAATTGATTGATATCTATTATAAGCTATTATTAAATGATAATGCACACTATGTGCATACTTGATATTTTGATTACTTACAATTAAATATATTAATCTAACCAATAAATTATTATTTTGGTCTGATAGCACCTGTAGAGTATAAAATACAGAGTAATATTTTCAGCCACTCGCGAATAAGAAATTTTAAAACAAAATGTGACAACAGTTGAAGGTGCTGAGAATGTGACCTATTCAAATAATTTTGACTTCACAATTTTATGTAAATAACTGAGTCCATCTGTGTTTATACGTCCATGGTATTCTCCTACTACCGGGGAACAACCAATTACCATCGAAGAGAATGTATTGGGATACCCTTGATGATGTAAAGAACACTTTAGTTTATAATTCAATGAGACAAAATAGATTTCTGCTTTTCATTCAAAGGTTTTTGCATTTCGCAGATAATACAAAGCCTAATGTTAGTGACAAAGCATGGAAAATGTCTAAATTTTATTAAAACAAAAAATATATCATATGATGAGTCTATGATAAAGTATTATGGTCGCCATCAATGTAAACAATTTATACGAAATAAACCAATCCGCTTTGGTTATAAAATGTGGTCGTTAAATACTTTACTGGATATCTGGTAACTTTAACCTATACTAAGGAAGAAATCCACGTTCAAATGAACAATATGATAAACTTTTGGCAAGTGTTCATCCCCTTTGGTGCGAATGCTTGAAGAGAAAAATCAGTCAGATTTACACTACAACTTACACAACCTATTCTCAAGAGTTAATTTATTTAGTTACCTACGATTTTTGGGATACGGCGCAATTGGAACAATAAGGGAAAACAGTATTCCACCTAGCTGTCCCTTAGAAAAAAAAGGAGTTTTCTTTGTAACGTGGTTGTTGGATGTTGCAGTCCATGACTCATGGCATTTATATAAACAAAAATAAAAAAGATATACAGATTGAACCAAATTAAAACGGAACATACAATTTAATACATGTCTGTTTGAACTGCATTTGAAATAGTGGACCAATATAAAACTTGGACAAAAATAAATCCATACCTGGGTATAGACATTGTATAAAATATCGTTCAACTATCTGTCTCGCAACAATGTTGTTTGCGTAAGACGGGTTTGTCTAAGGAAGCGATAATAGTTCAGGAAATGAACTCGAAAAAAGTTAAAACCTCGCAATTTTTTCGTCCTGCATGTATCCAGTTGAAATTTTAACAGAAGGTAGGTGATAGCCCAAGGATCAAAATCTATATCGAACCGAAGTGCGCTGGGGGGTTTTAGGGGTAAAAACTACCCCTAATTGTCAAAAATTAATAATTCTAAAAAAATGATTTCGCCTTGGATCGATTTGGGTAAAAATTTGGATTTAAGCTCAATTCACCCGCTGCTTTATAGTTTATGTCATGTCGACGAACCCTGATTGTTCTTAGGGGTGAAAACTACCCTAATTGTCAAAAATTATTAAATAACATATTAAACCTGAATATGGGTAAAATTTGGTTTGAATTAATTAAATAATGATAGTTTCGTGCTTTTGAATAAAGTTCCATCATATTTCAACCCTTAAAAAGCGACCCTTATTAGAGATTAATATAAAAAAATTAGTAATGCAAAGAAAATGATTTCACCTTGGAACGATTTGCATAAAAATTTGGAATTAAGCTCAACTCACCCTCTGCTTTATAGTTTATGTCATGCCGATGAACCCTGATTGTTCTTAGGAGTGAAAACTACCCCTAATTTTCAAAAATTGTAAAATAATATTACAAATCTTAAGATGAATGAAATTTGGTTTGGATTAGTTAAATAGTGATTTTTTTATACTTTAAAATACAAATTCATACATTTTCAACCCTTAAAAATCAATTGTTATGAGTGCTATAGGTGAAAACAATTTTTTGCCAAAATTTTGCAACTTTTCAACTTTTGAAAATCACCCTTTACAACATTGCAGTTTTTATAAACTAATTTATAAGATATAAATTGAAAAAAGTAGAATTAAATACAAAAAAATTTATCAACATAAAAAGGCACCATATATTCTTATACATTTACATAAATAGTTGAAAATATTTACATTTATAGGTAAAACAATTATAATATTAATTTTATTCGTCATCAATTACATCTTCATCGTGATCTATGTCATCCTCATCTTCTTCAATTATTGGTGGACTGTTATTGCACCCTTCACCTGAGCACCCAGAACAAGTAGAGTTACAGTATAAACCAACTTTTCTGCACCCACATGAAACGCCGCATCCTTTTTTGCATTGGCAAAAAATAATTTTCAAAAGTTCATCGGGTGCAGGTTGTTTGTTCATGCGTACGGGTAATAACAAACCATCTTTGGAATACCATCCCCAATCTGTTGCTCTGATATTTTCATTGCCAAGCCATAGACATATGAGCAGATGTTTTATTCTGTTGTATGGGATTTCAAAATAAGAACGCTTAAAATTTCGAATGTATAACGCCCCACTAGCTAATATACCGGTTTTGTAGATTATTATGCTCCGAAATGTACTGTACTATACTAATGGAATTTTCCGAAAAAAATTAATGGTTTTTTAACGTATTTCCTTTAATTTTTAACGATAGAGTGTTTCTTCAAAAACGATTTGTAGAGGTTTTTAAGAGCTACAAGGATCTGTGAATTAAATCTTTTTGGAACCCTTGGTTTTTAAATGGGGTGAGTTTAAAGGGCTCGAAAAAGATGGTGCTTGATCGTAAATCGATGCTTTAAACGGCTATATCTCGCCAAATATTCATTGTACAACAAATCTAAATAAAGGATAATTTTAGTCATTAAAAAAGCTACAATTTGGTAATTTTTATTTTTTTCATATATTCAGTATTTTCGGGCATATTTAAAAAAAGAAGGGTAAAAAATATGAAATTGTAAATCGTTTCTCGCTTTAAGCTGTACTTTTTCTAAAACTAAGCATTTTAAATGGGTCAAACTTCTTGGACGTATTAACAATACATGTACAAAGGGAATTGCAGAAGGGTGAAGATCGATTTTAATTATGGGGGTGGTTAGGGGGTTGTTTTCATCGATTTTTTCGTAAAAAATGAGGTATTGACCTTATTTTCATCATAACTCACTCAATTTTTGAGCTAGAGTCTTTTTTATGATAGGTCTATTTATGCTCTTTAAAAAAGGTTTTGTGAGTTTTCTTCCAAAAATGCATCATTTTCCCGATATTTGACTTTGAATCTTTCAAATTTGGCATTTGAAGAAAACCGCTGAACATTGATAGGCCGTATTTCGGTTCCTATTATATCGCAAAAACATTTTAAAAAATGAATTGTATTTGTCTTTTTAAAAGCTACAAATTTGTTCTCTACAATTTTTTTGATAAAATGCACCATTTTCGAGTTATTCGCGAAAAATCGATTAAAAACGTGGATTTTTTCGTCTAAAAGTTGTTACTTTCAATCGCGAATAACTTGAAAAATATCATTTTATAAAAAAAATGTATAGCACATTTTTTGTTTAGAATCACTTTTTTAATCGAAACCTGTAGTTAAAACGTAAAAAAAATTTTCACCCCGGAGATGGGGTGGCAACCACCCCCTAGGCTTTGGCGCACTTTGGTTCGATATAGATTTTGATCCTTAGGCTATTACCTACCTTCTGTTAAATTTCAAGTCAATCCACGCAGCACGAAAAAATTGCGAGGTGAAATGCTTCATTTCCTGGACTATAACTGGTTTGACAGCATAATAAAATCGTAGATTTATGTGTAGCTTTCAATTTTTATGAGTTCAGAATCCAGCAGCCCGCTGAAGTATGGGATTTTTATAATATAATTATTTGACAATCTTTTGTTGGCCAACCACCTACAGCAGAATTGAGCCGAAATACATTATATTCCTATGTTCCGAATTTATTTCGTTCAATCTGTATCCTTGCTATCGTTTAGGAGAGAATTGGACCAAGTTCTTCTCGCAAGATATGGAAGTCTTCTTTTATATACAGGAATACCTAGTCTACATAGACCTAACTTGCCAGATCTTCGTTTTGATCGCATCGACCATTTCTTTAAACCAAGCAGTAGAAGGCGATGTGCTGGTGACGGATGTACAATATCTGGTCGAACATTGTGAAAAAATTGCAACGTTGGTTTGTGTGTTAATTGTTTTATAGGATAACACACCAGACGATGAAAATATTCTCGAATAAATATTTAAAAAAAAATTTAAAATTTTGATTTCAATGATCCTAAAAATTCTTTAAGAGCCCATTAAACATGGTAACACCATATAATTAAAAAAAAAGACACAAAAACCGAAAAACTTGTTCTTTGAATTAAATTATGAACATTTTCATCTAATTAACCCTACAAGTAAGAATTTTCAAAAAAAACTTGATGGCCGTAAACAAATCTTTTGAGAGTCACTTTCTTCATTATCATTAGGATTTTTTCAATACAAATTTAGGGGAGCTCTCAATTTAGGTATCTCAACACAGTGAAAGATTTTATCTGGAGATATTAGAAATATAGAAACGGTGTTAAGGAAAAATTCAGTAAATAAGCTTGGTGACTAGAGCTGGCAACTGCTTAGAAATGTTCCGGAAGCTATTTATAACTGCAACATTCCAAAACAGTTTATATAGCATTAAGTTTATATACTTTTTGTAAATTTCGTAGTTTTAAAGTATTTCAATGAAAGTGTTTGTTTTTGTAAGGATCACTTACAAACTGGAGATACCTTCTAAAGATCTTTAAAGCTTTAAAGGATCTTTAAAGGATCTTTAAAGCTTTCCTTTAGAGGTTTTAAAGCCGAGTCAAATTCCTGATCCCACCAGATAAACATGGAGTGTGTTTATTTGTAAAAGAATTTTAGGTAGGTATTTAAACTTTACTGAAAGATATAAAGGTAATAAAAAAATAACAGCAACTAATACTACAAATCAAACAAGCAATTCATACAAACATAATACCGTTAACATTTAAATGCGAAGAAAACTTCGCAACACCAGCTTTATTCTCCGCGATACACGTATACTCCCCAGCGTGTCTGTCTTGTACGGAATCAATAGTGACGGAGCTAACTTTTTTTCCGACCTGTGTTATGACCACTCCGTCCATATAACCCAGGCTGATGTTGTTATGGAGCCAAGATATGTTGATCGGTAAATCGCCTTTATGGACAGAACACTGCAGCGACGCCAATTCGCCCGAATTTATCGCTTCATCTCCGAAGGAGAAAGGATTGATTTGGGGCGGCACTGGAATGGTAATATGCACTCAATATTTTTTGTTTTATTTATTAAATTTTCCTGCATTTACAATCTGTATGAAAGAATTATCGGTAGTGGTTTTTGTTAAAGAATCATTTAAGAAGTAATTAGAGTATTTGGTGATTATTGATTGATTTCACAAATTTTATAAAAACTATTTTTATTGGGTAAGGTTATTAGGAAAAGTTGTGCTGACTGTTAACTATGATAAGAAGAAGTCTGAGTTAAAAATGTTTTATTTCGAATGCAGTCATATTTTTATTTTGGTTCATTTTTTTGATCCATAATGAATCGTCCTAAAAGTATTCAATACATTATAATTGCAATAAAAATATTTCGACTAATAAAAGAACGAACAGGCATAGAGGCATATCGCTTATTAGCACATCATATAAAGTGCTATCAATTATCTTGCTAAAGAGACTCACACCATATTCGGAAGATATTCTAGGCGACTACCAATGCGGCTTTCGTGCTGGAAGGTCAACTATAGATCAGATAATTACCATCTGACAAATATTAGAGAAAAACTGGGAATTCAACCGCGATGTGCACCAAATTTTCATAGATTTCCAGCAAGAATATGATTCCATAAAAAGAAGAAAATTGTGGATAGCAATGTTAGAAATGGTAATACCAAGAAAATTAGTTGAATTAACGCAAATGTGCGTGACAGACTCATATGCACAAGTAAAGATAGGAAGCAAAACATCGATACCATTTGGTATAAATTCAGGACTTAGGCAGGGGGACCGCTTGTCGCCGTTGCTGTTCAATTTTGCTTTAGAATATGCAATAAGTAAAATATCGTCTGAGCTGACAGGAAGATTTGCTGATCAAGGATCAAAACTTTTGCTGGCCTTTGCTGATAATATAGATGCAATAACGCATTCTACAAGAGACGTGAGAGAGGTGTTTTTATAGCTCGTGGAGGAAACAGGTAGTCTGAGTCTCCGAATAAATGAGGAAAAGACGAAATACATGGTAGTAACCAAAAATCCAAGACCAAGAGTTAGGCAAAACATCAGTATTAATGATCACAATTTCGAAGTAGTAAAGGAGTTTAAATACCTGGGGGCGATAATCTCAGCTGACAACCACATAGAAAAAGAGTCTCAGCAAGGATAGCTGCGGGAAATAGAGCATTATACTCCCTTTCAACATTATTAAGATCGAAGCTGCTAAAAAGAAAATCTAAATTAACACTGTACAAGTCGATTATTCGCTCAATTATTACATATGGCAGTGAAACATGGACTCTCAACCAGCGGGAAATCAATAAGCTTCTAGTATTTGAAAGAAAGGTTCTCAGAATAATATTTGGCCCTCAAAGAGATGAATTCACAGGGGATTGGAGAAGACGCCGCAATGCTGAATTGGTGACTCTGTATGGAACTGAAAACATAGTTAGACATATCAAGGTAAACCGAATAAGATGGGCAAGTCACGTGGTACTCTGTCATCAGAGGATGACAGAGAAAACATAGTTAGACATATCAGGGCAAACCGAATGAGATGGGCAAGTCACGTGGTACTCGGTCATCAGAGGATGACAGAGTGTTAGACGGTGTTTTTTGAAAGACCAGACGGTAGAAGATAAGTAGGCCTAACGAGAAAAAGATGGAAGGATGATATTGAAGCGCAAGATCGTAGAGGATTGAGGGCGATAGTGGATGTGGCAAAGACCCACCCCGAGTTGTGAAGCCAGTGAAGAAGAAGAAGACACAACTAACTCAAAATCGACAAATGAAGAATTTAATAGCGAAGATTTTCAGTAAAACTGGGGACCGCATCTTTAGCTTTACAGAGAAATACAAAGAAATACAGGTAGCAAATATAAAGAGGCAAATCAGATTAGTTTGGATAACATTCAGAAGGTAGGAAGACTGAATAAAAAATGGAAGACAGCCAAAATATCTTAAATAATAAAATCACAGATCTTAAAAAGTTCTTATTTTTCTTTCATAGACATGACTCTGTCTGTTTTTTAATGTGCCTCCAGTAAGTTGTCGTTCCATGGCTTTCGTGGTCTTCCTACTTGTCTCCTTGATCGTCTTACTATTGGGGAATCGTCTCTTGTCGTCTTTACTAGTCTATTTGTTGTCATTAGGCTTACATGATCGTTCCATTCTACTCTTCTATTTCTTACCCAGTTCTTGATGTTCTCCACCTTGCATCTACGTCATATATCTGTACCTCTAACTCTGTCCAATAGTGTCTTATCATCAATTTTTCTAAGTGTTTTCATCTCTGCTGTTTCTAACATACTTTTTGTCCTCTCTGTGTCAGGTTTTGTTTCTGCCACGTATGGCATTATTGGTCTGATGACTGTTTTGTAAATTCTGCTTTTCATTTCTTTCCCGATAGTTTTATTTCTCCATATTGTTTCATTTAGGCAGCCTGCGGTTCTGTTTGCTCTATTCACTTGATCTTCCAGTTTAGTTTCGAGCTTTCCGTAGCTAGATAATGTGATGCCTAGATATTTAAACTTATGTTTTATTATCTGACCTTCCAGCTCCAATTTACTTCTTCTTCTAATAGCGCTACAACCCTTTATGAGTATTGGCCTGCTTAACCATGTTTGCCATTCTGCCCTGTCGGATACTTTCCTTCGTCACTTCCTGATGTTCATGGTTTTAAGATCCCTCTCTACGTCGTATATCCATATTTTACGGGGCCTTACTCTTGTTCTGTTTCTTTGGGGCTTCCATCTCTAGACTACTTTTACAGCTCCATTATCTGGCATTCTTTCTAGGTGACCAAGCCAGTTTAGTCTTTGTGACTTTACACATCTAACAATATCTGCGCTCTGCATTAGTTCATCCAACTAGTGGTTTATTTTAATTCTCCACAAACCATCGCTGCATTGGGTTGGTCCAAATACCTTGCTTATTATTTTGCGCTTAAATATTCTCAGTTTATTTTCATCAGTGGTTGAGAAGGTCCACGTTTCACATCCATATGTGACCACTGATCTAATTACTGTTTTGTAGATTCTAAGCTTAGACTGACGATTCAGTAACTTACTTTTCTATTTAGTCTTTGTATGCGTAAAAGCACTTATTACCGCTACGAATTCGTGCTTTTATTTCTTGACTGATATTGTTGTAATTTATTATTGAGCCTAGGTATGGAAAAGTGGAGGTACATTTGTAGGTATGGTTGTTTACCTTTAGATTCTCGTATTGATTCGATTTTGTGCACTCCATATATTTTGTTTTGCTTTCGTTTATATATAGACCAAACGTAGCAGCTCTCGTTTCAGTTCTATAACTTTTTCGTTTAATACCTTTTTGTTGCGGCTTATTATGAGAACATCATCCACAAATGTGCATATTTGCATTGATCTTGTATTAATACAGCCGTTTATATCCAGTTTCCTAACAACAGCTTCTAAAGTTAGATTAAAAAGTGTTGTTGATAAGGCATCATCTTGTCTAACTCCATTTTCAATATCAAAGGCCTGCGTCATATCTCCATCTATTCTCACCACAGCTTTGGAACCCTCCAAATTCATTCGTATAAGTATAACCAACTTATTGGGTATCCCTGACATAGGTAGTTGGTTTAACATCTTTTGTCGATTTACTCCATCAAACGCCCGCTTAAAATCGATAAAGTTGTACATAGGTATGTTATATTCAACACATTTTTCATGTATACCTCTTAACATATGTATTTGGTCTATAAATGACCTCTGGTCTGATGCCACATTGGTATTCACCAATCATCTCCTTCGAAAACGAGTCCAGACGGCTGTATATAATTCCTGATAATATCTTGTAGACGACATTTAAAACTGTTATGCCCCTATAATTTTTGCAGAGTCGTTTGTCTCCCTCTTTGTACATGGGAAGTATGATTCCTACTTTCCAATCTTCTGGGATAACTTTTAGTGTCCACAGGCAGTCGATTAGTAGCTCCAATTTACATCTGAGTAAATTTGCTATTGTAACTGTGCAATAATGTAATTTTTTTAGGGAAATTAACATGTTAAATTTTTCTAGCGGTTACATTAAATTGGTGCAGCATACGTTGTAAATCGTCTTCAATTTGAGAGAGTAGTATTGGGTCGTCTGTATAGCAGATCATTTTAAGTTGTTTTTCTTCCATTTGGTATCCTTTTTTAGTTCTTACTTTTTTTATTATTTCATCCATAATCAGGTTCAACAATAGAGGACTCAGAGAATTTTCCTGTCTTATCCCACTGCACGCTTCAATAGAGTCGGTTAGTTCTTCTTTCACTTTTATTGTTATGTTGTTTTGGTAAATATTTTCGACCGTTTAGAGGTATCTAATTTCTATCTCTTAGTTTTAGAGGAATCTAATTTCTATCTCTTTTTAGAGGTATATATTTCCTAAATACTAGACAGTAGACCTTATCCTTTCCTATAGGCAACACTCTTAAAATATCTCTGCCAAGCAGAAAACTTCTTCTTTTTCTTTCCAGCAAACTTTTCCCTGATATTAGTATCAGAGGTATTTCTCTTGCGTACAATAAGTGGATAACGTCCTTTAATTTGATCCAGTCAAATGCTTTCTTAAGGTCCACGAAACATAGATATGTCAGTTTGTTGTATTCTAATGATTTCTCTTGCACTTGCTCATTATAAATATAGCGTCGGTACATGATCTTCCTGACTTGAAACCTTGTTCTTCTTCTGCTAGTGTTTTAATTTCATTCCGTTTATTTGTTATCACTTTGGTTGTTAATTTTAGCGTTATGTTTAATAAATTAATTTCTCTGTAATTTTCAGGGTCTGATTGGTTACCCTTTTTGAAGAGAGGCATTAGGATGCTTGATCCCCATTCTTGAGGGATTCTGTTTTGTTCTGGTCCTCCGTTCTTTAGCAGTTCGTTCGGTATTCTGTCTTCTCCTGGTCATTTTCTATTCTTTAATTTCCTTAATGCTTCCTTTACCTCTTCCTCCTCAATATTTATTTCTTCGTTTGTCGTCACCGATGGTATTGGTGGTTCATTATTGTCACTTATAGCAAATAAGGATCGAAAATAGTCTACCCATGTTTCCTTTTGAATGTGTTTCATTTTTATTAGTTCGTTCATCTTTTTCTTTGTCCTCTGATCATTCTCCATATTTTTTTTGTGTTCCGTAGAAGCCGTGTTCCATCTGTTTTGACAAACTCTGCCAGTGTTCCCTTTTTATTTGTGTAACTAAAGCATTCGTTTCATTTCTGATTCGTTTATAGTAGTTATATGCCTGTTGTGTTTATTGTGTCCTGTATCGTAATGAGGCTTTTTTCTTCACATTTTGTCTTCACTTTCTTTA